CAACGTTGTTAACGATTGTCTTCCTTTGATAATCGATAGCCTGTATAATGACCACATCCGTCGCTGTTAATAAATCGCTGTAATACTGTTATTACATGAAATAATTACTTGAACGAGTAAGCATTCAGAGATCTTTCGTTTAATTCTTTAAGATATTTATTTTAACTTGGATTTAATAATTTGATTTATTTTAAAAATTTTATGCAATATTTTAGATATATTTAAAAATGTATTAGACGTATATATGTATATACACTTATAAATATATATTAAATATTTCGACTTTTATTTAAGATAAACTGATACATTAAAAAAATTTATGTCTACAACATACAATACATATATATACATATATATGTGGAAGAGTAATTTTTATTTTCACGAAAAATGCAGAGAATTAAAAACATAAAAATGTTTAATGTTTTTATGGCGATTCGTCGATGACCAAGTAGCAACGGATCGTTACGATTGCACGAACCGATTTCGTGTAACGCGATGTCTTACAATAGCGAGTATAATCCACTCTCGTTAGTTGACAACCGACGGTGTATTGTGAGATAATAAGGAAAGATTTAATAAGTAATCACGTAAAAAAAGAGAGAGTGAGAGGGGAGAAGGAGAAAGGGAGAGGGAGAAAGGGGGAGCGCGAGAGAGAGAGAGAGAGAGAGAGAGAGAGAGAGAGAGAGAGAGAAGGAAACGTCGACCCGTCATAGATTCAAGCACAATAAGAACTAGTAGGGCCAGGCACAATAAAATTCGGCCGTCACGTTGTAGGCAGCGATCTGTTAGAGCGACAATTCGTATAAGTATCCATATAGCAAGGCTATTAAATAAACATATTGTCTATTGTCCGACAAGTGTATTTATTGTTGATGCTGATCGTTCCCTTCTGCAAGCCTCTAAGCAATCTGATATTGAAATAAATATTTCACAGAGGAAAAGACTAATATTTACTCTATACTCATTAACTCCCTAGTTTCCATTCTCGAAAATTTTTAATCATATTTTATATTATTTATATAATGTAGTCTGTATAATATGTACTATAAAAATGTAAACAATATAAAGCGACTTCATAATATACATATAAACAATAAAAATGTATATACCGTAATATATATTGATTAAGATTGACAAAGTTAAATTCCATACCAAATTAAACAAATCATTATTAACTTTAATAATACGTATATCATTCGTATAAAAGATTTGATATCAACAACTGGCGACAAGTTAAATTTCATATCAAATTAAATAAAGAATACAATCCATAATTACCTTGTCCATTCAAGTGTTATCACAAAAAGTTAAAGAAGTAAACACTTGGTACTGCTAGATCGAATAATAAAAACAATTTAATACAAAAATTATAATGATAGTTAAAAATAAAAATAAAAAAGATAATTACAATTTTAATGTAATGAATTTAATCTGAATGTATATACCGTATTTTTTTACACTAAATAAAAATAAAGTTTACTGTTTATTTCTTTGTTCTTTTTCGTAACATAAATCTTATAAGTCTGAGTTTATTTATCTTAAACCTAAAAGCTTGCATAACTTATACGACTGTTTAACCCAATCGAATATATACCTACGCTGGATATTTTTACTCTCATAAGAATGTTTCTCATTTTTCTTACTTTAAATATTACATTCATAGTATGGGATTTAACTTGGCGCCAATTGCTGATATAAAGTCTTTTATATGAATGATATATATTGTATTATAACAGTATATTATTTTTAACATATGTAGAAACAACCATCTATTTCAGGCGACATAAATAAACAATATTAAACATCGAATCTCATTCGACCGTACATGTGAGAATACAATCAATAGAGATAGATGCTTTTAAATCATTTCGGCGCGCAGTTTAAAAGACTACATACGTAGTATATAAACACAGAATTATACTGGCACCTAAGCTTAAACCGTTAAAGATATCTATCTCTATTATGTTCTCACACGTATGGTCGAATGAGATTTAATATTTGATATTGTTTTATAATAACGTCTTAATTTTTTACATATTCACTTGATAAAAATTATGTGAGTGTCCAAGTTGTCATATAAATGGTAGTTTATAATTATCATTTGTTAAATTATTTATTTTAATTAGACTTTACAATTTATATTACAAATAAAACAGAGAGATGTAAAATTTGAAATGGGACTTTTCCACTTTGGACATAATTCTGTTTACTAGGTACGTCCTATATATATTGAATAAAAGTATAAGTATAACAGAATGCAATAATAAACAATCACATATTCAATATTTCACATAGGGATGTACCCGATATCCGGAATGTATCCGGTATTATCCAATATGTTTTTACTATTCGATCGGATAGTCAGATATCATTAGTATCTGGGAATATATCCGGTTGAAATTTAACATCATTAAATTGTTGATTTTTTTCTTATATAAATGTTCTAGAAATAAGTATGCATATTTATGATGCTATAATATTTTATACATTTACTATTGTTGCAAAATTACAATATTTTTCTGTATAATCTTTTTTTTTTTTAGAAGACACTTTCTCGGAATTCGGTCGGATATCCGACTCTAAGAAATTGTCTATAAATTTATTTATTTGTCTACAAATTGTTTATAAATTTAATACAAAAAATCAAGAACTGTATCCAGAGAAAAGTTTCTTTGCTATATAGTTAAAGAAAAAATTTTTTTGATTTGCAAACATCATTTCTTTGATTTAAAGAAATTATGTTTAAATCAAATAAATTTTATTCAAATCATGATGTCAACGTTATTTCTTTGATTTGAACATAATTTTGTTCCATGATAGGTGCCCAGTAGAGAAACTTCTTACGGAATGGAATGCTAGTGAAATCATTTCTAATAAGAAATCCGTTTCGTCGTTCCTATTCCATGTACATGGGACGGCGACCTTAGCGGTTCAAGAAAATCATTTCGGCGCGCGTTTCAAAGGACTACATACGTAGTATATAAATTTACACAGAATTATATAAGCATTTATTTTAAGATCCAGCTAGAGCTCCTCCGTTTAAGGCTTTCCTTTCTATAGTTTGTGTTATCACATATACGGCCCTATAATACATTGTTTACTTACTTATATAATATTTTACTAATTCTGCACAATTTCTTCCTTTTCTTTATCATCGACGAGATACTATTAAAGATCGACATCCTTACGGGAGTTCGCGTCCTTGTGAATATTGAAGTAATTAAGAGTTAAAAACTGAAAATATTGTATTAATTTTATGATGTATTAGTTTAGTAGACGTATTTAGAACTCCATAATACTCAATTTTTCTTTAAAATTGTAATTTTAATGTTATCGTCAAAATTTGATTATCAACAGAGATGATAACTGCAGAGAAAAAAAATTTTAATTTTTCTACAATATATAGGATATTATAATTTTACAAGTATGCATATTTATTTATGAAATATTTATGTAATAAAAAATTATGAATTTAATAATGTATGAGCTAAATATTTAATAGCAAATTTATATCAATTGTTGATAATGTCGGCACTCTTTAATTACCTCCGCGCCCTTGGAGCCTTTTTTGTACCGCCGAAAATTTGTTCAGGATTGATGGTCTTTAATAATATCTCGTCGGTGATATTATGTATACGTATTATAACAGGCAGAATGACAGGAAAGAGCCATATTGCTTTTTGCAAGATAACGCATTCTATTGATTAAACAAATTGACTACTGCGCGTCATAGATTTGAAGCATAGTAATTCCATCATGGATTTGTAGTATCTTAGAATCTGAAGTCTGCTTCTGATACATTTTTTTTTATTTTAGCTAAGAGTACATGATAATTATTTAATCGTTATTTAGTAATATCCAGATTACGAGTTGCATTATAATAATAAAGAAAGGGCAACAAATATGTCAAAGAACACAAATATTTTAATAACAAAAAGTAAGTT